CTCCCTCTTCCTAAGCTGCTCCGCAGGTGGGTGAGACAGGCAGAAACACGAGGCTGTATCTGCCTGTGACAACGGTGCAGCCCGATCCTATATGCACAAGCTCCAAACAGCAAGCTGCACCAACTCGCACACGGGCATGTTCGGTGGGAGAGAGGGATGGTGTTCCTGCCTACCCCAACCAACCGCGAACACCAGCACATGTGGTGCGAACGAAGCTTTTTGAACTTGGACTGAAGCACACACGGCACAGCGTGTGTGTGGGGGAGGGGACTTCTCCGGGGGCCGACGGCAGAGCTTGCAGTTCTCTTCCAGTCCAGCACCAGCACCCTACACCCTAAAGCCATAAACCACCCCAAAGCAAGAAAGGTACTGGAAGAGAGTCCTGCGCACGTTCTTCTCGGCAACTCTTGCTCCGTGCCAGTGAGCTGAAAACATGAGGCGCCTGTACTTTGCCTGAACTTCCTCCCCGAAAACATTGTCAACCCCGAAAAACACAAATCCGGGCCGGCACTCAAAGCGTACAACCCGAAACCTACGAAACTATGCGTTTTCTCGAGTAAAACACACATATCCCCAAAATAGTGCGGGCAAACGCCCGTCCCTTAGCCAAGAAGTACTATAGAGATGCGCTGCAGAACTCTTACCCTAAACCCAAAACCCTAAGCACAAAACCCAAAACCCAAAGCCCTAAGCCCAAAACCCTAAACCCAAGCTCAAAACCCTAAGCCCTAAACCCTAAGCCCTAAACCCACAACCCCAAACCCTAACAGCGACGCCACTGCAAGTCCCCCTCAGGTCGGGGAGCTGGCGCCTCCAAAGAAGGGAGCGCCGACGCTGCTCACGCTGGCGCAGGCCGCGGCAGGGCTCGCGGCAGGCTCAGGTCTTAGGTTTTGGATTTGGGGTCCTTTTAAAAGGCTATTATAAGGGTTTCTACAATAAGGGTTTAGGGTAGGGGCCTTAATAAGACGAATAGGGTGTTGGGTCCCACAACGTTAGAATTATAACAAAAAGTTTTTGTTGTTAATTTTGGCCCCTGCATGAGGTGTTGGGGCTTAG